GACAGCATTCAGACGTTAGCAGATAGATAGATAGATAGATAGATAGATAGATAGATAGATAGATAGATAGATAGATAGATAGATAGATAGATAGATAGATAGATAGATAGATAGATAGATAGATAGATAGATAGATAGATAGATAGATAGATAGATAGATACCAAAAGTGCTTACCGTACGCGAGGAAATGCTTCACATATATAAGACGCATGCGTTATAACCTACAGGGTAAGTGGCTATCGTACAGAAGTTCATCGGCACGTCTTCGCTAAAGCCCGTGGGTACAATAAAACAGGAAACGTACGATTATTAGTGCGAAAAAAAACATGAGATTAGCTTGAAAAATTTCTGTTTTAGTAAAGCGATATTTACTGCTATAAGGCACTTCAATGTTCTGAATTCAGAATACTCTAGAGAAATCGAAATATTGCGAAGAGTTTTATATTGGGGACTCTTTACACAGTATTGGCTGTTTTTGGAACGAGGTTAGTCGTTGTGCTATTATTGGTTCAAGCTTCAAAGCAAGCTTTCTTATCTCCTCACCACTCGCTCAACCAAGACGTGGAAACACGCACTCCACAATGCGGACCTGGAGATACAGCTCCGGGCATTATGTGAGCCTTGGAGGTAGCGGCCAGGCACAACCTTTCAAGCAATCCTTTCAAGGGACCTTTAAAGCATGAGTACAGAGTTTCTCCGATATTACCTACCTTTTCATTCAATAGAGAAATAATGACTACAACAATGAATTTTTACACAGGCCTCTCAGGAGCATGTTAACAAGCTGTGTATACCTTCTAAGCATGAGAATTTTTTTTATTTGCAATGCCGTGGTGCACTTGTCAATGCAAATATACATCAGCGTGGTTAGTGCCATCGTGCCCAGTTTAGTGAGAACTAACACACAATAACGCCAAGAAAAGTATACAAGATATTATTACTAGTTATTTATCTATAAAATGTGAAGAATGCAAAGTAGACGAAAAGATGACAAGCCGCCTTTTGAATTACATGTCCGAAGCTCTACCAGCTGAGCTACAGTGGCAGTCATCTCCCGTCCACTTCATCGAGTACGTTTGTGCATTTCAACTTGGGAGTGTTAGTCAGCGCCATTAGGAGCCATTGGTGCTGACTAACACTCCCAAGTGGATGCTGCGAGATGACCCCTAAGCGATGACAGTCGCACGCAAAAGACGACGTATACACATGGCGAAGGACGTACGCTCGGCTTCCACTCGAGTTTCTGTCTCAGAGATCGGACATCCGTGTGCGTCCGTCGCTGTTTGTGGTTCAACTCGAATCTCTGTGCACTGACAAGCAATCTAAAAACAACCTAGCGTGTGCTAGCTAAGGCCCAAGAACGACCCAGAAGCCATCAGATTAGACTTGAGAATGTATTGTGCAGAAACAAGGACATTCGTCAACACTTAACACCAACTAGGACAAGTTCTCTTCTGGTGCAGCCAGACTGCAGAATTGTTCAGCTTCACTGTTGCGCTTAATGCAAGGTTCGTGACCAGCTTTATGCGTGTGCATGTTAGAGTTTCACTTTTATAGACCTAAAGTCGTGCCGTCCACCATCAAAGATTGTCTTCTCTAAATTCCTGCGTTGGAATATTCGCACCAGAGACAACGAAAAACCCCAAATTAAGGTATGAGGCCAAGTTACAGAATTCTTTTTTGAAACAGCAACAAACACTAAAAACTATTAGTCCTAAATATGAAGCGCACATTTTTGGCACTTGTGAGCGTTATGAAGATAGTCAAACATTTTGTTCATTTTTCACAATTAAAGAATTCCGCAGATCCCACGTATATGGGAATCAACTTATGCGAAGCACGCGGAAGGGAAAGTGGCCTGGGTAGCATGTTTATTTTAATTGAGGGACACGTCATAAAATGACGCTAAATATATATAGATATGTTGCACGCAGAGACATATGTTGAAGAGTTGCAGATGTTTATATCACCAGTTTTTCACTTGTACAACGATATCAACTGGAAATGTGTTTTAGTGACACCAGAAGCTGATACGAAGCGCTGATGCTCGCGAAGACGCTGGCCCTTGACACTGCTACATAAATCAATTTCAGCGCATGGCACCTCACCACGATTCACGTTAACCCGACGTGACGGCTGTGTCAAAGGAGTACATATGTAAAGTTTTTAAAATTTGGTAGGCACCACTGCAACCACTATTGACGTTTCATGAAAATTAGCGTCTATTTGAAAGTGGTTCTGAGACCTGGCGTAGCTCTGTGGCAGAATGCTTGGGTTCGATTCCTGCTGGGACCCTGAAATTTATTATTTGCATTCGTCGGGTGGCCAACGCTGCTTATACCCGGTTTTGCTAAACCCTGACATTTATTCTATGCCTTCGTTGGGTCGACGCTACCGATGTCTGGTATTGCTTAACGCTCACGCGTTATAGTTGGCCACGTGTGTTCTTCTCGTTCGTGGGTAGATACTGTACATCACCCGTGGCACATACCCGCTTACCAGCGGCACATACTTGCCGTTAAGTATGTGCCACTGTCTGGCGGGAAGTAATTGACAACGTACGCGACGAGATTTTGACATTATTTATGTCTTCACCAGCACGTCACATTCGTCAAACCGTCTTACCCTCTCATGCAAATTTTGCTTTATCCCAAGTTAAGAGGGTGACCACGAGAGCACCCAAACGTAAGCGGCTAGATTAGATAGATAGAAAGATAGATAGATAGATTGATCGATAGATAGATAGATAGATAGATAGATAGATAGATAGATAGATAGATAGATAGATAGATAGATAGATAGATAGTTAGATAGATAGATAGATAGATAGATAGATAGATAGATAGATAGATAGATAGATAGATAGATAGATAGATAGATAGATAGATAGATAGATAGATAGATAGATAAGCTCAAAGTCACCGACGTTTGCCAAGAAATCCTTCGCATTTAAAATTTTATTGAAGTGTGCCGAGGCAAACACTCCTAACTCAAATTCTGTTCGCTCTTTTTTTTTCTAGCAGATGTAGAAAGCTCTGGCCTATGCAATGAACAATAAGTAATGATAGTTGATGAAAAGAAAAAAAAACATAATACCTAAATAACCAAAATAGTACATGTCCACTGGAACAAGGAGCACCTTTGTATGACAGGCAGTCATATCAAATCCTACTGGCTAGATTTTCTCATTGAGGTTCATTGCAAGCTTACTGATGTGACAATAAGTGTGCGAAGTTTAAATGAAAAGTGTTAATTAGCAAAAGACCTACGACCATTCACGTAAGAAAAAAGCCCCAGAAATATAAGCTATGAGAAAATGAACATGGAAGGTTAGAAATATGGGCAATGCTCAGACAAGATACTTAGGGGGCTAAAATTCTCAATAGTTGTAGCCAGTTTTATTGTGAACCTTACTACTGTATGCCTTTTCTCTAGTGGCAACTTCACTTTTTTGTTTGTTTTGTGGGTATCGGAAGCGAATCATCTGACGCCCACAAAACGCAGTTTCATTTTCGGTTACATGTGTGGTGCCTCGGTGTTGAGAACGCCGCGCTCTTGGAGTGAACGAACACAGCAGACGCGGTCAGCCTGAATCAAACCGCAATCATTAAATACGATAGTCTTTCTTGGGGACCTTCAATGCAAAAATTTTGGTCTGTCTGTCTGTATGTCTGAACATTTGTCTGTTTGACCACTTTTCACGACACCGGGTACTTGAAACGGCCGACCTCATCCGCAGCACCCACCAATGCTGCTCAAGATTCAGCGTTCATGCTTGTGCAATTACCCATTGAAAAGCAATTATTGCGAATGTCTGGGACACCATAACAACACCTATATGTTCTGCATGTGCGCCTTCTACTAGAAAAGACATACATAAGTAATTTTAAGGGCCATAGCGCTTATCACACTGCGCTGACCATGCGACGCTTGCACAAAAAGACGAGTGTTTCCAACGGTTTGCTAAGACGAGATAGTGGTGGTACCTACCCGTCGTCTTGCGTTCCACATGTTATGACCTCTGAGACGGGCGCGCACACCCGTCTCAAAGCCACGTGCTTCGTTTTCCCCAAAAAAAAAAAAAAACTGCCAGAGGGCGCTCATGTCTCACGTGTGACGTGCTTGATGCGCTCGTTCGCCTCCGCTAAACGCTCGAGGCACTCACGCGGCGTCTCCAAAATATCATTCACCAATTTTCTTGCACAGAGTATCAAATAAGTGTTTTCTTCACTTTCTCCACACGCAAGACTATCGTCTTTCGGCGACATCTGCAGATTAACATGCAGATACGGGGCCAATTTTTAACTACTTTTAAATCGACGATATTGTTAGCCAAATTATTATAACTTTAATTGTGATCCACATGCTAGAACAACCTTAGTTAGTATTACACAACACTGAACAACATAACAAGCACAAGAACACGCTCAAGGCAGCTTCGGCAACGCTTCACTTACCACGAGGGCCTTTGGAAGATGGCTCGCGCTGCCGTCTACCACAGACTCACTGCTCGAGACAACCGTTCACGCCAACCACCACCCGCCAAAGAGCCCCGCTACTTTGTCATGTGCCGTCACGCAGGCCTGCCGCCAGGCGCCACCACCGGCAGTACCGTTCTAACCATGATGATGATGGTGGCGATAAACGCTCACGAGCACAACGCCACCTACCTCTCAATAGTTGTGAAGCCAATATGCGCCCTCTGCGCGAGACACACGCGGCACGAGGCGCAAACAACTGTACAGGTATGTTAAAACCTCCGTACATGGTGACGGCTGGTGCAGCTTTTCTGCTTGTATCTTTTCAAAAAAAAAAAAACGTGCACACGGAAGCCTTATGGAGAAAAATTACGAATGATAAATTTCGCATTCAACGACACCAAAAATCGCAAAACAACATTTCGAGAAAAATTCACTTTTTCTACTCAAGGTCTTCTCAGCTTCTTACATCCTGCATAATACGAGTGACACAACACATCACCTTCAGCAGGTGTACTTACCGGGGGCAACCTAGAGCTGAGAATCTGTAACAGTGTCCTGCACATTGGAATGAGCACCATGAAGCAGCTGAAGTTGATCACTGCCGCTGTTGCTCGGGACAAGCAGAGCCCCACCTGTACAAGGGATTTCGGCAAGTTTTGGTGACAGCGCCGTCCAAATGGCATGGTGCGCGCCTGTGGCACTCGCAATTATTACACGAACAAGACATATTTTTACAAAAACTGGTAGGTTTGCAGACTGAAGAAGACGTCGAACGATGAATGTCATTGAAGCCTACGCTTTCATGATGACAGGACAGTGACTTGCTCAAATGTCGGCTCCAGCGACCCTTTTTTTCGAAAATGCGCATATCATTCTACTTATGGCACGAAAAGCACAATATTCAAATCATTTTTCACTGCGACCCGCAGCAAGTTATTTAACGCGTCACTGTATTTTGGCATGCACTGTTTCTAAATGCCTAGCCATAAAAGCACGTGTAGGTCCCAGGCATGATAATTCTTCAAACGAGACTTCCTAAAACAGACATATGTACACGTGTGATGAAGTAGGCGTGTCGTTGCAGGGCACACGAGTGAAAAAAGACTATAGCTTAAAAAAATAAAAAAAAACAGAAGGGGAGCTCTATGAGGGCAAAAATTTATACAAGGAAATTTCGGTTATATTAACTTCACTGAAAGAAAAATTGTCTATAAAAGAAATTTTGTATCACCGGAGCACATAGAAAATCAAAATGCTCTCAAAGGAAGCTGGCGTGCATTTTCATTTATTGCTTCTCGGGGTCGCGGCAACATCATAAACCGTTCTAAATAATTGCCAGTACTACTTATAGGCGTCAACTATCATACTTGTGCTCGTAAATAAATGACGCTGGTGCGGAACGAGATGCGTAGCGACCCCAGACAGTTCACAGCTACTTTCTAATCTTAGAACGCTTTTTCGCAGGACCGTAAAGTACTGCGGCAAACGTGAACTAAGTAGCGGTTTGCACCTGCAATATGAAGAAAAAGGCACGTCAAGGTGTATCCTGCAAGATTCGCGCGCATAATCTCGGAGGATACCTCGCGCTGCTTAAGGCCGATTCTAACACACTTGCAGCGCGATGCGAATGTACATGCTTGGAGATAAGGCAGCCGCGCGTGATTGACGTGTCTTCCACTGGAACTCAAGCAGCAACTGTTCGAACCTGCACGGTAGCGTAAGTTCATATCAAACGTCGCGCGGCGAAAGCGTTTCTCAACAACCGAATTTCATGCCATTGGAGGCTCATGAGCTTAAGCCGTGACCACAGCAAGCTTCTTATCACCTCGGAATTCGTTCAAGCCGTGATCGTGCCATCGAGGTTCCACTGTACCCTGATTTGACGGCCTACAGGACAATCTATAAACAGAATACTATAGAAAACAAGATTATTCAGTTGTCTTGAGCACGCTCAATCTGGTTTTGCTTCAGAAATACTTTTGGGCAACGCTTACTCTTAAATATAGAACAAAGGAGGCGACAAACCTATGGAACTAAAAAATGGCAATACCGTGCGCTTTCACTATCGGCATTCCGGCTAGCCAATACGGCCCTCTTTGCTGCGGATCCTACTTCTCAATATCATATGGAAGATAACACATAAAAATACAGTAGACTACCACAAAAGACGAAAAACTTTTATTAGCAGAAGCGCAGATAGCTCAAATATGCCTAACAATTTTTAGTGTACTGTGTATTTTCCCACTGGAGTATCAAGCACAGTTACCAGCACACGCCGAAAGGTACATGTTAAAGGGAGGAAATATATTGATCACAGATGCGTCCGTTTTTCTTTTAGGGGGCGAACTTTCTAAAGCCATAGGTCTGCCCAAGCATGTGTCCTTGTGACCGGTTCCTAACCACCTAGTTGTATTACTCACTCAGCAGGTGGTGCTAGTGGGAGTGACAGACAGACAGACAGACAGACAGACAGACAGACAGACAGACAGACAGACAGACAGACAGACAGACAGACAGACAGGTAGACAGGCAGGCAGGCAGGCAGGCAGAGGCACGGATGGGCGGATGGACAGAAGCACGGACGGAAATACGGACGGAAACACGGGCGGACGGACGCACGGATGGACGGAAGCATGGCGGACAAAAAAACGGACGGAAGACCCGACGAATGGACGAAAGCACAGACGGAGAGAAGCACGGATGGACAGTGAAGCAGA